AGATACTATATAGTAAATTTATTAATTAATATATAAATAATATATAAAAAATACATAAAAATAAGTAATAATTTGTATTAAATATTAACTACTAAATAGAAAATTACTATTTTAATATATATATTATATATTTTTAAACTATTTTGTTAAAAATATATATTATTTTGACCTGTGAGTAGTATTCGCAAAACTTCGAGACTCAAGACAGACAAATTTTATCTACACCTTTTACTGAATAGTTTTTATCCCTTAAACTAATTTTAAAATATACTATTATATAAACTATAATTCAATATAATTTGATAGAATAATCACAGATCAATTATGAAATTTTTAGGAAAATTGCCTGGAAAACAGTTTAAAGAAAAGTTATTTTAGTTAGCTGCCAGTCACCCCATTTGTTCAACATATACATGTATGTTATTGGGTAGTTATTAAGCAATAGTATGTCTATAGCAGAGACAGTACTCAATCCAAAGTAAATTCTTCTCACTTGTGATAAATCACAAATTAAATTATTTATGTTGAATTCAAATGTGATGAATATAATCCGTCATCAGTTTCAATATACATGTAACATTAACAGTCTCAGCTATATAGTATGTCCTGTGTATGGCAAATTCGGGATCACTAGGTCTTACCAAATAATGCACAACTAACAACTCAAAAGCAGATGTAAAAATTTAGTTTGAGAACCAAGAATTCTACTTTACTAGAATCCATGATATTTATTAGGTGTGTCATTATTATTATTATTTCAATACAGTTCTTTCCCCTCTTTTAATTACATGAAATAATTAGATTTACACATAAGAAATACATTAGAGCTTTTCTAACATTACAAGTAATCTGTGGAGATTCTATGAAATGTTATACTCTCTTATATAACTATAACTTTATTTCTACCATTTATTAGCAAAAAGCCATCAGATGATTCATTACAATGTGCATCACCTCACATGAAACTAAAATAGCATTTATTAAATACTAGTTTAATATATCGATTAAATGCATATTCGAAGTCTTGAATCTTGCAGCTTAGTTATGATTCAGGTCATGATTACATCTACATCTAGGTCACATTTTTCTTTTCAGATTTGAACAGTTTAAACTTTATAAATATGTACAATGAAGATCTTTACAATGAAAGCAATTATTACTAATTTAGAAAATAATAGCAAAATGCTGTGATGAAGTGAAATAGTAAATGTTAATAATACTTATTTTGGAAAAGCATGAGTTTTAAACCAGATACCATGAAAAGAAGTAAAATGTAAAATATGTAGATGTTAAAAGGAAAAAACATGAAATAATAACATTGCATACTATTAGAATGTGATCCAATAAGTGTAGCAATATAATAGTTGTGAAGACTTAATTATGCATATAAACATGTCCTACATATAATGATTAATAAACAATGCAAATATTACTAGAATAGAATAGTAATATTAATTGCAATGCAAAATATCGAGTGGCAAGCAAAGTGGCAAAGTGTAATAATACTTATTCTGGAAAAGAATTAAATATCACTCATGAAATAGATTCGAAAGTTAAATTAGAAGTGTTATTCAAATTAGAAAAATAAAATGAATATTTTACCTGATTCATGTAAAAGCTCTCATGGCTTCTTGTTTGAAGTACATATAGTTAAATAAAAAAAAATTAATTATAAAGCTGTAATTGTATAAAAAGAACTATTTTGTTATAGCTGTAAGTCTGTGAATAAAAGTATAATTACTTAATTTGCTCACCAAATTAAAGAAAAACATAAATTATTAACAAAATCGATTACATTTTTCTATATTTGCATCTTGCTAAATATTTTTGCAAAATAAAATTCATTCTTAATTAGTTATATAGAAATATAGATAACCCCATAAAGAACATTTTAGTTGTTAACTTTTGAACCAATGTCTTTACTTCCACCTTTACCTGGCTGTTTTGTAAGTTACAAAGCCCTTATTTAACATGTTCAAAAACATGCCTTTAGTAACAGATATGCTATATGTATCAAATGATCGGAACGAGATAAGTTTGTTTACTTGCACTGTAATAGAGGTGGCACCTATAGAAACTCCTTGAATCTTACAGATGAGACTCAGCAAAGAGCTACAAGTTCATGACTAATAGACTGTTCTTTTGAACTATATAGCAAAAAGAAAGATAATCAATAGTATCTAACAATAAAGAACACAAATCATAATTATGAGGCATTAAAAGATATGTCAGATCATCTATCAAGTCAACAATTAAGCATGAAAGAGCAACAAAGAGTTCAACCAATGTCTGCATTAAGCATTCATCCTCAGAAAATGCTTTCAACTCTTCATCAGGACAATTCAAATCTTGCAGCAACCTCAAAAACTATCTATAATGCTTTGGACAAGATTAGACATGATTATCTTCAGGGTCGCATGCCAATTCAGACCCTTCTTGACAAGCTAAAAGAAAAAAATTTTGAATATGATTATTAATATGATTCAAATGATCATATAACTCATCTCTTTTTTGCTCATTTAGTATCAATTATACTCACCAAAGCCTATAACTCTGTCCTCTTAATGGATTGTACATATAAGACTAATAGGTTTAAAATGCCACTTCTACATGTCATTAATATGACATGCTTTAATACTATATTTTCTTCTTGCTTCACATTTCTAAAATCAAAACAAGATAATGATTACAAATAGGCACTAGTTCATGTTGCTTATATTTTTAATAATGTTTCAAAACCTTAGATCATTATGACTGACTGAGAATTAGCATTAATGAATGCTATCTGAATTACTTTCCTGAATCTCAAAATTTCTTATATGTTTGGCATATTGAAAAAAATGTACTTGCCAACTGCCATCACCACTTCCCCACAAATAAAGAATTAATAGAGTTTTTAAAAAATTGGTCTATTCTCATAAAATCTAAAACTGAAGAATTTAATAAAAAATGAGAAGAACTAATAAGAATATATAATGAAAAATTAACAATTATTAAATATTTACAGAATGTATAGTTGCCATTAAAAAAACATTTTGTGAGTTTTTGGACAGACCATTACTTACATTTAGACAATATAACAACATCACAGATGGAAGGGTCCTATGCGATGCTAAAAAAGTACCTTTGGTAACCTTCATACTGTTTACGAAAATATCTTTTTGGCTTTAGAAAATCAACATCAGGAAATCCAAACTAATATTTCTCAAGAAAAGATTAGAATCCCTTATGCCCAAAATAAGTCATTTTACTTACAAGTGGTTACCAAGATGTCTGTATTTGCACTAAAGAAAGTACATGAGCAATTCATAAAAGTGTCTAGTGTCACTCTGAACAACCCATTACAGCTTTGCATTATTAATGGGCCATTCTTGTTCTCATAAAATCCAGGAATGACTCAATAACAACCAATATTTACAACTTACTAACTTTTACGAACACTGACATCTTCAGAAGCACCAATTGAATACACTGACTGAAACTAAAGAAAGTCTTCTACAACAGCAATAGCAAGAATACAGCTGGCAATTTGACTCTTGGCCGCCCATTAACAAGAAGTGGTTTTGGATGAAATGTCAAGCTTGTTCCAAGAGCCAATTATAGTTGTACAAAACCCACAGGTGCAACATACTAGAGGACATCCAGTTGGTGCAAGAAATGCCCAATCATCTACTCAAAGAGACCCATCTATCTTTGAGTTAGATGATTCAGGAAGATGTATCAAGAAATGTCATATGTGCTATAGAACCAGACACAATAGTAGAACATGTTCTAATAATAGAGAGCAGAATGAAGCATAAATTATATATTAGTAAACTAGTGAGTGGATTCGAATTTGAAAATTTCTGGATTTTATATATAAATTCGAATTTCAAATTTGAATTTATATATTAAATCTAGAATTTTTCAAATTTGAATTCAACCTTTAAGTAAAACTAAAACACCTCTTTATAGTAAAAATGCTACATATCTTTTCTTTCATATATACGATTGGTAATATAATCTGTGCAATGCATTGATCTAAAAATAAATTAATCATTAGTAAAATGCTGTATTGTGAAAAGCAAATTGCTACCCAATAATAAAATACCAGTATATTGAGTTTATATTATCATGAGATCAATAAGTGAAAAGTTTATTCCATAATAAGTAAAGGTTTTATACGTAAACTGTAATAAGTAAAGGTTTTATACATAAATTGTAATAAGTAAAGGTTTTATAATAAAATTTTTCATAGACGATTTTAGTATGTAATAAGTAAAGTTATTAAAAATTATTATAATGCAAAATTCTATTGGCTATTCGTAATTACACAGGATTGTGATATGAAAGAATCGATTAACATAATGCATATCTATAATGTGAATAGTAATTTCTATAGTGCAAATAGCAGTTTCTTTAAAATATATTACAAATAGTTTATATAAAAATAAAGTAAATAATAAAATATTAATTATAAAAATAAAATTTTGTA